AATTTGAATAAGCAAGGTAATTCAAATTTAAATATCGTTGAGACTTGTTTAGCGGCTGTTTCTACCATGTTTTGGTGTGTAGATTCAGGAGCCACTAATCACATCTGCACTACTTTGTAGGGGTTTCAGGAAACGCGGTGGCTAAGTGAGAATGAAGTTTGCATTTTTCAAGCCAATGGTGAGTCAGCACCAGCTTAAGCTTTAGGAGATATTAGAGTTTCATTTAGTAGTGATAGAGTTTTAGTTTTAAAAGATGTTCTCTATGTACCTTCTATTAGAAGGATTTTGATTTCTGTTTCGAAAATAATGGATGCTGGTTATAATATTTATTATGCTAATAACTCTGCTGTTATTAAGTTTAATAAATGTTTTATCTACACTGCTGCTAGAGTACATGACCTTTTTATTCTTGATATATCTCCTCGTGTGCTACAACAACCAAAAGAATTAAATTACATTAATCTGCCACATAAAAGAAAACGTATTTCTGAATTGAGTCAAACTTATTTGTAGCACTTACGTCTAGGTCATATAAATCTAAATAGGATTTCGAGATTGATCTCTGATGGACCTTTGAGTTTATTTAAAGTAGAGTCACTACAAACATGCGAATCCTGTTTAGAAGGTAAAATGACCAAGAGACACTTTCCCTCAAAAGGAAATAGAGCCAGCGATAAGCTAGAATTAATTCATTCTGATTTGTGTAGCCCTATGAACATACAAGCAAGAGGTGATTTTGAGTATTTTGTGACTTTCACAGATGATTACTCAAAATATGGATATATTTATCTGTTGCGACGTAAGTCTGAATGCTTTGAGAAATTCAAAGAATTTAAGACGGAAACGGAGAAATGACATGATAAACATATCAAAACATTGCGATCTGATTGTGATGGTGAATACCTTTCTGCCAAATTCATAAAATACTTATCAGATAGTGTAATTACATCTCAATTATCTGCTCCAGGAACACCACAACAAAATGGTGTGGCAGAAAGAAGAAATAGGACCCTTATGGAAATGGTTTGATCAGTGTTAAGTTATTCCGATTTGCCTTCTTCCTTTTGGGGATATACTTTAGATACAACAAATTACATTTTAAATTTGGTTCCTTCAAAGTCAGTACCTTCAACTCCAGTAGAATTGTGGGCTGGGCGCAAGCCAAGTTTACGCCACATTTGGGTTTGGGGTTGTCCAGCACATGTGCTGAAAGGGAAAGCGGATAAATTGGAATCAAGGACAGAAGTGTGCATTTTTATTGGATAACCAAAAGGAACTAAAGGCGGTTTGTTTTATTGTCCCAAAGAAAAGAAGGTAATTGTTACGACAAATGCCAGATTTTTAGAAGAGGACTATTTAACGAACCATATTCCTAGAAGTAAACTAGTTTTACAGGAATTAAATAATGGAGTAACTAAAGACTCATCTCTAGAACGTATCCCGGAAGCCAGTATTGACATACCACTGCATTATTATAGTGGGAGAATGTCAATAGGCAGCAGATTGCACAAGAGCAATTGCCTAACATCTCACTACTCCAAAGTAGTGGGAGTAATGTTGAGCAACCTCAGATTGTTGAACAACTTGAAATTGTTATGCAGTCTGCACTCCAGGAGGAAGTTAATGATATCCCAGCACTGCAAGGTGTGGAGGATAACATTGAGGCTTCAATTCCAGAAAATGATATTGTGATTCAACAACAAAATCAGCCTCTACCTGTAGTGACTAGTCGTAGTGGGAGAATTATTAGAAAACATCTCCGGTTTGCGCTCTTGTGAGAATCTCATGATAGAATCACTATAGGATACAGATGCTGATAAACGGGTTGATGCTATGAAATCTAAAATGGAGTCCATGTACTCCAATCAAGTCTAGGATCTTGTAGAACCACCTACTGGAGTCAAACCCATAGGTTGTAGATGGATCTATAAGAAAAAGAGAGGAGTGGATGGAAAAGTGCAAACTTTTAAAGCTAGGCTTATTGCAAAAGGGTTTACTAAAAAGGAAGGGATCGATTATGAGGAAACCTTTTCGCTTGTAGCCGTGCTTAAATCTATTAGGATTCTCTTATCCATTGTTTCTCATTACGATTATGAGATCTGGAAAATGGATGTCAAGACCGCTTTTCTTAATGGAAGTCTTGATGAGTGCATCTATATGGCACAACCAGTTGGTTTCACAAAAAGTGGCAATGAGCACATATTGTGTACATTAAAGAAATCCATTTATGGATTGAAACAAGCTTCTAGGGCATGGAACACTTGTTTTGCTGCATCGATTAAAACCTTCGGTTTTGATCAATACGAAAATAAGTCTTGTGTCAATAAGTAGTGGAATGGAGATAAAGTTATATTTTTGGTTTCTACGTAGATGATATTTTGCTCATAGGAAATAATGTGAGCATGTTGAATTCAGTAAAGAAATGGTTGTCCTCACGTTTCGATATGAAAGACTTGGGACATGCAGCACATATCCTTGGGATCAAGCTTATGCGAGATCACAAGCAAAGGATATTAGGCTTGTCCCAAGCACTTTATATTGATACTATTCTCACCACGTTTAGCATGCAAGCTTCTAAGAAAGGGTTTCTACCTTTTAGACATGGAATCTTTCTGTCGAAAGATCAGTACCCAAAAACGACTGATGAGATAGAAAAGATGAAAGTGGTCTCTTATGCTTCTACTGTAGGGAGTCTTATGTATGTTATGCTATGTACTAGACCAGACATCTGCTTTGCTGTTGGTATGGTTAGTAGATTTCAGTCTAACCTTGGTCGAGAACACTGGACTGCTGTTAAGCATATAATCAAGTACTTGAAAAGGACTAGGGATTATATGTTGGTGTATCACTCAGGTGATCTTGCACCCATTGGCTATACAGATTCAGATTTCCAGTTAGATAGAGACTCTAGAAAATCTACCTCAGGATATGTTTTTAGCTTAGGAGGTGGAGCCATAAGTTGGAGGAGTATCAAGCAATCATGTTGCTGATTCCACCATGGAAGCCGACTATGTGGCTGCATCTGAGGCAGCTAAAGAGGATGTTTGGCTCAGGAACTTTCTGAAAGAGCTTAATGTGGTTCCTTCGGTTCAAGCACCGATTGTACTTTATTGTGACCATAGTGGTGCAGTTGCAAACTCGAAGGAACCAAGAAGCCATAAAAGGAGTAAGCATATTGAGCGTAAATATCACTTAATTCAGGACATAACTAGAGAGGTGATGCAAGAGTGTTGAAGATTGCGTCAGAGGACAATTTGACAGACCCGTTTACAAAGAGCTTGACACAGAAGATTTTTGACAAGCATGTAGAAGAAATGGGTGTTAGAGTAGTAGATGCATGGTTATGAGTCTAAGTGGGAAATTGTTGGGATATACTATTAGCCATGCGGTTTAGACATAGTATTTTATTCTTTATGGAATAATTATTTATTTAATTTATTCAATTCAATAAAGTACTATTTTAAATAGATCATTTGTTACATGTGTGTCCTTTTAGTTATGTAGTAGACAATTTAGTGATGGAGTCTTAGCTCATGCACGGAAGATTAAATTGTTGGTTCTCATAATTAATAAACTATGTTCATAATCAATGATATTGTTGGACAAAATATATTGATGATTGTAGCACAATATTATAGTACAATTTGTCTTGATTATGGGAGTTGTTTTACTCCAACTTCTTGTGCTAGTATACTCAGTGTATATTGAACGGACCAAGTAGAGAAAAGATGTTTTTGTACTGAATATATAAAATATTTTCTCTAATTCATTAAATGAGCTTATACTCCTAATCTTGATATAATTATTATGATAAATGTAATTTGTTTATTGTTTTGATTTATCAAAAGATACGACTCTATTCAGAGTTAGTGTATGCCTAATAGATTGGACAATAACGAACAACATTTGTGAATAATAATTAGTTGATAGAATCCATGACTCGGTTTTGAGTTTGAAGGGGAGTTAAAATAAGTGTTATTGAATTTTCAGAATTCATATTGAGGAGTTCAATTGCAGTTTTTTAGTGGAATAAATTACAATTAATTATAGTAAGAATTAATTCATGCTAATTTTGAATTAATGCTATAATTAGTAGCCTCTTATTAGTTCTGTGGTCCCTGCTATACCTAGTAAAAACCTGGACAAGACTTGAGTAAAAAGTGACTTGGGAGAAAAGTCATCTAGTAGAGTTGGAGTAGGATTCTACTTAAAAAAGGCAGAATCCTACACGTTTTTGGAGGAGTATTTTCAGCCAAAATAACTCTATTAAAGGAAGACTAATTTCACCCAATAACTCACTTTTAGAGTTATATTGTTCTTGCCCACCCAAAAGCAAAATCGTCCAAGGTTTTACTAGGCATCTAACAGAAGACTGCAGCCCTGGATTCTTGCTGTTTGGAAGATTTGTGCAACTATTTCAAGAGGTTAGTGCTTCTAATCTTGTGATTATTGCGTTGTCTAGTTTATATGTATTTGATGCCTGGTTTGTATGTTTGCTTCCGCTGCGCATGTTCTAACAACCCCATCCTACATCTTTTATATTTATCAACCCATTCTTTTTTTTATACCTTCTTTTAATTACAGTTCTATAGGAGACTGAATCATCTTTATGCAACTGTACTTCATCCTAGATTTCTTGGATTGATTATTCTGGTCCATTTTCTTTGAAATAGTATTTCTAGTATGCTTATATTGTGATTGCAAGTTGTTGATTTTCCTCGAATCTTATTATGTACAATGCTACTCATCTTGGTTGTTACTAACATTTTACATAAAAGATTATGGTTTGAATCACATATTCATTTTTTAGATTAATTTTTGCAAAATAATAAAAAATGCTGCAAAATATAATTAAACAAGTATTGGATATAAATTATCACACCTTACTGCTTATCCATCCTATAAATTTGAAGGTTGTTGTCTGCATGAGTGAATTGTTTAATCAAATATTAGACACATGTGCATAGCACGGGCTTTCATTTCTGGTACAACTAGAAAATCTAGACTTGTTTTGTCTCACCAGGCCCCCCATAAAGTACGAAATGTTGATGCTTTGCAGCTTGCCAATGAGGTATATCAACAACCCTGTATAAATTAGGATTGTCTGCATATGCGGTAGTTTTATCTTCATCTATGGTCTTACCTTTATCATTTAGAATTGTAATCTTTCTACAATAAGCTTCATGACCTGTGTTTCCAATGGGAAAAAGTCCGGAGCCCATTGGGGGTCCAGGCACACCTGATGGACTATATGCCACTCCTCCCCACTCAACATTTGTAGCAAAACTTTTTAATTCAGTGAAGATCCTTTGAGGCCAAAATCCAATTTGCTTATAGTCCTCTTCAAGCAAGAGCCACCAATTCCCGTTGACTAAATCCTTTTATTTTTAATAAACAAGTGTCTAGGTTAGTATTTTTGAGTATACACTAATAGATTTTATGAAAATTAATAAAAGAAAGATAAAGTGTACCCGATCGATGGCCATGGTTTCCTCCCATGAAGCTTCTCCAATTTGTGAAATAGTATCGTATACCATATCAATAGGTATCTTAGTGTTCACCAATACAAAGCCAGGGCATAGTATATTGAAGCAATGTATTTTACCAGCCTATTTATAAAAAACATATCTTACATAAGTTATGAAAATTAAGGTACATAGATAAACCAAATTTTATGTAATTGATAATAAAATCATAGGAGTATAATTAGATATTCAACTTACCTGAAAATGTATAAAGAGCCTAGTTTTAGTATCCCCGTAGAGCACTGGGTCCACCTATAGCATGAAATAGTGTTATCATTGTAATTGAATGGAAGCTTACTTATAACAATTTAAACTTGCATCTAGAGTATAATATATAGCATATATTCAAAACTTATCACATCGTCTTTTCCTTTATATATATCCTGTTTGCTCAAAAAATAAACCTACCCTACTCAAAAGAATAAATCACTTAAAAAGAAATAATGATGTCAAATCGAAAAAAAAATTATAGTATAAGTATTGAACTTACTCTCCATCCAACTTGTACAATATCTGATCCTTTTTGTATTTTCAATCGACTTGCACTATGTTGCTGACCTTCAACGTGAGGATTCCATAAACTAGTTGCTATTGTTGCTCCCGCAAACTTATTATTTGGATCATTTTGAGTTCGAGCTATTGCAACCTGAATATAGTAATTAATTCATGGTAAAATTAAATGCATCCAAATTTAGCATGTTCCTATTTGCTTGATATCTTAATTTTTCTTTTACAGCGAACAATGAGAGGCCAAGGAAAAAGTGAGATATTAAAAGAGTGCTCGAGTAAGACGTAATCTGTGCCTACTCTAAGACAAGTGAAGGCAAGCTAACAAAGAGAAGCCACTCACGTACATTACTAAAGGTGCTATTTGTACCTCATTCATTTTTATAATTTTAAAATTGAGAAAATGACCTTGTTAGATCTTTTATGTGTAAAAGACATATCTTTTATGTGTAAAAGTAATTTCCTGTGTGTAAAAAAAAGGTAGGATCATAAAACGAAACACAAGTTTGTAATGAGCCACAAACCGAACTGACCCCATTGCTAAGCCCATATGTTTAACTATTTTCATATATATTAAAGCCAAAAATGATATGTATTTATATATTTTCTCTTTTATATTTGTTCAAATATTAAGAATATATTTTAATTGTATTTTTATATTTAGCAAATCAAGAGAAATATAAATTATTTTTCATATATTACCCTCATAATTAACTACTTATTTCTAAATTATTTTCAAGATTTTTTGAAATATTGTCATTATTATAAGTATATGACCAAATATGTAATTCATTTATTATTTCTTAAAGGTAGTGCAAAATCTATTATGGACAAGTGCGAATAAACATAGGGAATATCAAGTAAGCTTAGCTCAAAAAAAAAAAAAAAAAAAAAAAAAAGAAATTCTACATATCAACTCTATTCCTCCACATGTATACCTTGTATCCTTGAGAAGATTTGAATTTTCTTTTTGGCTCACTATTGTTAGCCTGTGAACAAGCAAGAAAACATATGTATATATATGAGATTAGTCGCGATACTTGAGAAGTAAACATATTTAATCTCTTAATGCATGACTTTTTTGTAAGTCTAACTATAATTTGATAAACTTTAATACTGTTATATCTATAAATAAAGTTATAGCTTAGATTATATTGTTGGAACGTGAATTATTCAAGCTAAAGCTATTAATTAGTATAAAATTATCTTACAACAGCCAATTGGACATCAAATGTTATATCTTCTGGTGGTGGAATATGTCTTTGTCTAATAAGATCTTCTTTGCTAATCCTTTTAATAGGAACTGTTCCAACAGGACAACCTTCACCGTTTAGCCATATTGTTGATAAACCTCTAGTTGTAGAGGTACCTGAACTCTGCTTTAACCTGTGTAAAGTAGGTTTCATCTGTCCATCCAAAATCAAGAAGATTGTATGTCACAATTTTATATTTTTATAAAAGAAGTCCATGGTAAATGGAGATTAGAGACATACCTCAGGATGAAAACGATGATTCCGCAGCAATGGATGATCAAATGCAGGTTGCTTGTAAAAATTCACACAATCGTATAAATCCCCATATGTAGTCTGCATGCCAAAAAATCATAAAATAAATAATCTCTAATATAGTGATTGAATATCTTGCTGTCTGATTTTTAACTTTTGAATACATAAAAACTAGAATAATAATTTATCATTTTATCCATATTTAATTTGAGTTTCAACGGCCAAAAAAGACTTTTATTAAACTAAATGTTTTGGCTTTATTAAAATGACGAAATTAATATAAACACATAAAAAGTACTGTGATATAGAAGGTTCTTGATTTTTAATACAACATAGATTTTCAAATAGGAAAAAAATGAAGTCTATCTATGAAAGTTTAGTTTGATGTTTTTAAATCTTCGTGGTCAAAGATGGATGATTTGTTCACCACCAAAGATGTATGCGGGGATATTGATATCCCTCCGCCCTTAACCAATGATTAATTTAGGCTCGAGCATTAAAAATAAAAAAGATTTGGTATGGAGTACTTCGTCATTTAATGGGTCCTACGTGGTATAAATCCGGACGACTCCAGACTATGCATTCTGAATACCAAATGGCTATCTTAGAACACAAATACAATTAGAGACTAATTAGAACAACAATGGTTTTCAACCAAAATGTATACCTCTATTGTTTTGTCGGCTGGCTTGTTCAAAAGTTTAAGTTGTTTTTCCAATTCCAAGTCCTCTAGTTCCGAATACCTCTTTGTTTCTCCTTGAACCCCATTATAGCTCAGAAGAAGAAAATATAGAACCAACAAAGTTTGTCGCATAACTTTTTGATTCATCACCATCGCCTGAATTCAAGAATTTAGTTTTACATGTATTAATGTCAAAATATATATGTATGTACAACAAACTAACATTCAGAAAAATAAATTAATTAACACAAGAATTAATATACTAAACGAGCTAATTGCATATTAATACAACATGAAAGCAACAAATGGTAGACTTACTTGATTTACTAGAGGTATATATGAGAGATGAAGTTTGGAGCACTTGTAATTACCTTGGTAGTATGAGTAAAATGATATTTAAAGGAGTTCGTCGAAGTCTTTTAAATTAATGTAACTTTCTTGAGTACGATTACCAGAATCCGAAAAGATTTTACGTTAATGCATATTTGCTTACTTCTGAGTACAATCCGAAAAGATAATATGTCCATAGATTAAATCAAATTAATGCATATTTGCTTACTTGTGAGTACAGTCCACAAAGATAATCTGTCCACAGATTAGTCAAATTAACAAAAAGCACGTAGATTATATGTTAGTAAATATGGTATAGTATGAAATACAATCTGATATATGTTGTTGCAAGCATTGTTAATACAAATTAATATATTATACTTACTCTGCCTGGACTTCGAAGCTAAAAATAAAATTCATGTATCCGAATTACTATAACGCATATGAAGACTACTACGCCCCAATTTGTTTTTAATAGAGTTAGTTAAAATTAATATTTATTATTCTTAGGAAATTATTTTATTTCATCTAATTTTTTAAAATATCAAGATATTTTTTTTAATAATATTTATGTGATTTTTAAAACTTTTTACTCATGACATAGGTACACACGCAAAGCGCATACTCTGATACTAGTATATATATATATATATATATATATATATATATAGTTAAAATGCTAAATGTTGAATGACCAAAATATCCTCAAAATATTGGTTGACTTTTATGTTGTTTGAAAACTAAAGTACAAATAAGTTTATATCGGATAAAATTATATTTACATGTAAGTTTTAAATAATATGATTGCACTAGAACTCTGAGTTCTGTGAAAATACGATTTCAAACATTTACTTTTAGCCAACTTCAAAACTATTATGGGACTTTGAACCAAATAGATATCTTTAAATTTTCATAAAGCACTATCTTTTAGTGGTAATTAGCTATCTATAGATACCATTTGCTATATTACGGATTGTAGATACGTTTTCTGTTGTTATAAGATGTATTAGATGTATTTAAGCTATTGTATTCATGAAGACAATAGCAAAAATAGGCGTGAATCAGGGAAGTCCAGCTAATTAGTTGTTGTATTCGAGTGTATTCGACTGTATTCATGGCGTGAAACATGGGATTACAGCTGGACAGATTATTGTATTCGACTGTACTCACGGCGTGAAACATGGTATTACACTGTTTTTAAACGGAAAGTGAATCAATTAACATAATAGACTCCTAATATAACTCAACAAACTCAATTATAACACACAAATTTTGTATTTCCAATTATAAAAAAGAGTCTCAACCGAAAAAATACCCCAAAAACATAGCAATTTTCAGAGAAATTATATAATACATCTGAATATATAAATTATATTAATTAAAAAAAATATATGAATATATTCATGGCATATAGCGAGAGAGTGAATACAATGAAATACATAGAATACAGTGAGATACATTGAAATAAAATGAAAAAAAAAGACAGTGAATACATGGAATACAGCGAGATACATTGAATAACAATGAAAAAAAAGACAATGAATACAATAAAATACATGAAAATACAGCGTGATGCGTTGAAAATACAGTGAAATATATTAACAGAAAATCAAGTTGCTCAGCCCCAAACTCCGTCGTCTTTGTTCAAGAACAAACCCTAATTTCCGACGAACCGCCGTCGAGCAAAAATCCTGAATATCCGAGAATGCTACTGCGAAAGTGATCTATTCCGAGAGTAAAAATTGTTTTACAGTTGGAAGCGAAGCGAAGTGAAGTGAATCTCTGAATAAGAGTAAGATGCAGTAGCATACTTAATCACAATCCAGTTGGAAGCGATATGATCAAACACAAAGCAGATTCAGGAAGATGTGTATTTTTCCCAAATATATATTACTCCAATTGTTATCATCCCTTCACTATCGCTATGAAACCACATAGAAATACGAGAAGGGAAAGAGGCAAAAACACCATTTGTGACTAATGGCAGGTGATGTGGGTGAGAGGAAATTTGAGATTGAGCATCGTATTTTCAGGGAATGGGGGAAGAGAATGGCATGTATCAAAGTAGAGAGGGAAAGAACGTGGAGTGAGATGTTTATGTGAAATACGGTAATTATGTGAGAGAAAAATCTGAAAAAGGAGAGAGAAAAATAAAAAAAATAGTGTATTTAGTGGCTTCGGGGTAGGAGGTAACCAAAATTAGATATTTTGCTATAAACATTAAAAGGTATCTATAGAATATAATTTTTTAAAATGATATTTAAAAAAATAAATAAGGTGTTTACCTTTGCTATAGGAGGTAAAAATTCCTTAATTTTATTGCCGTAAGAACTACGTACCCTTCAACTTATTGTTTGAAATTAGAATTCAATGAAAATTTTAAAAGGTAACCCTAATTATTATTCATAGAGTTCTTACAGACTTTTAAATTTATAACTAATAAATTAATAGAAATTAATATTTTTATATTCACTTAGCTTTCATTTCAGATTAAACAGAAAATATAAAATATATAATGATATTTCCTTAGACAGTTTAGACATAGCACAGAGCTAGGATATTGAAGTTTGAGATGTCATAAATAAAAAATTTGCTTGGGACTAATAATAAATTATAAATTGCAAATCAATGAACAATACATAATTTTCTTTTTGGTGCTTGTAGTATTTAAGAATGAATTAAATGAAGAAAAGACCAACGCATTATATGGACTAGAAGTTCTTAGTCCTATTAGCTGCGTTGAGGTATTGTGATGACCCAAAAAGTCATCACTTGTTTTAGAAACAAATTCAGTGTTCCGAGGCCTATAAACCTCCTTTTTTTACCTCACCTCGATTTGCATGTGTAGTCCGTATAATTTTTCAGAACATTTTTATGTGAAAAAAATGGATTAAAATGTGAAATAGAGCTTTAAAACTCAATTGAGTTGACTTCGGTCAACATTTTTAGCAAACGGACCTCTATAAGTGTTTGATAGTTCAAGTAGGTCCGTATCGTGATTTAGGACTTGGGCGTATGCCCGAAATCAAATTTGGAGGTCCCTAGCTCAAGTTATAGCCACTTAAAAAAAAAAACTAGAAATCTAAAGGCTAAATGTTTCCAAAGTTTGATTACGGATTTGACTTTATCAATACCGGGCTTGGATTGATATTCCGAATTTTTTTAAATAGCTCCATTATGTCATTTATGACTTGTGTGCCAAACTTGAAGTCATTCCGGATCCATTTGATATGTTTCGTCACAAGTTTTGTAAATTGAAAAGTTTGAAACTCATAAGTCCGAATCGAGGTGTGAATTGACGTTTCAACATTTCTTGGAATGATTTGAAACCCTAGGCAAGTCCATATGATGTTTTAAGACTTGTTGATGTATTTGGTTGAAGTCCCGAGGGCCTCGAGTGGATTTTGGATGGTTGATGGAGTTTAACTTGGGCATTTCAAGAATGTTTCGATGTCGTTTCTTAAAGAATAAGTGGTATCATATTAAGCAAATGAACTCCAAATTTAATTTTGATTGAAGCATTAGATCCGTATCGAAATTTCGGAGCCATAGCAAAAAGAATCGTCCAATTCGAACATCGTATGAGAGAGTTATGCCCATTTTTGTGTCGGGGAAAAATAATTTCCCAAGCGCCCAGGGTAGCGCGGGGCGCCATCCATGGCGCCGGGATTATTTTTGGCTACTGGAACCAGCGTCACTGGCAGCGCCTGGCGCCCGAATCGTAAAATGCTATAAAACGGGGGTTTTGGCCATTTTTGACAAAAATAGAGTTGGGGGAGCTCGGTTTGGGCGATTTTCAGAGGGGTTTTTGATAAGTTAGGATTTTACCATGATTATACCCCTTACTTGCTATTGCTTTTGTTACAAATTGCCACAAAATAGTTCCAAAAGGCTTACAAATTGCGCTTGATTACAGGTTTGAGCGACAAGATGACAAATGTCAAATATCGGCTCAAAACGGAGTGAAACCTGCCAAGTGTCAAGAACAAGTGAAGTGAGGAACAGGAAGACCTAGCGCGGACCGCACTGATATGCCACGTGGCTGCGCTAGGAGATTCAGAGAGGGGTAAATTGAGGTGCAAGCCACGCGGTCGCGCCCTATTTCTGCACGGTCCGCGCAAGTGAAGTTCAGAGAAGGCTTAAGTCTCACGCGGCCGCGCTACATATCAGTGCGGTCCGCGTGAAGGAGATTCAGAGACATGGAATTTTGGCTAAGTCAAGCTACGCGGCCGCGCCCCATTCCTGCGCGGTCCGCGCCGACCCTCCGCCGCGGCCGCGCTACATTTCTGCGCGGTCCGCTGCCCCCAACTTCAGAGGATGAGATGTTAGAGTTCAAAGAGCCTACGCGGCCGCACTACATTTCTGCGCGGTCCGCGCTGACCCCGCAAGGGTATTTTTGTCCGAAATTTCCAGCTCGGTATAAATAGATCTTTTTACCATTTTTAGGTCAAGTTTTAGATTCTGAACAAGAGCTGCACTCGTGAGAAGCACTTTGTAGCCTATTTTGGCAATTTTCCTCTTCAATATCATAATTTCTAATTAGTAATCAATTATTATGTTATTTCCATCATCTATTTCTACTGTTTCTTCTTTAATTATGTCTAGCTAAACCCATTAGCTAGGGTTGTGGCTCAACCCTAGTGTGGGTAGATAATGGGTGTTGCATTCTAGGGTGAGATTGAGATCGGGTCTTTGTTATTTGGGTTAATTTTGTGTTTCAATCTAGAATTTGTGGTTGCAAACATGAATTCAAGCTTAGTGGATCTAACTCTTCTTGAGAAAGAGAGTCATATGACCCTAAAAGTTGACCCAACAAGGAATTG